GGAGTGAGAAGGGGGCGTGGGAGGAAGGGGGAGGTTGGGCGAGAAAAGGGGAGGGGAGAGGAGCAGAGCGGAGGAAGGAGAATCTGTTAATTGGCTGACTTAACGGAAATCTGTGAATTATTCGTCCAACAGGCGTTCATTAAGCACCTACCCTGTGCCGGCGCTGACGATACACCAGTGAATGAAACTACAGGTCCTGGCTCTCAACCCTCAAGTTAGTACGGGAAACTGATAACCAAGCAAGTAGTTCTAAAACCTCTTTTAGAGGGAGAAATTGAGGCTCAGAGAGATTTCACTTCCAGTCCCAGAGATTTAGGATTAAAATAAAAACTCATTACTCTCGGGGCCGGCAGGTGGCCTGGTGGTTAAAGGCGCTGGATCCCACATGGTCCGTCAAGGTCGGAGTCCTGGACTTGGCAGCTTGCTTTCTTACTTTCTATTTCTCTCTGTGTCTCTGGTCAAATTAAAAAATAATAACAAATTAAGTGAAATAAATCTTTAAAAAAATTAATTTCTCTATCAAGGGTAGCCCCGCTTGTTCTGGCCCCTGCTTAACTCGCCAGCATTGCCTCCTCTGCTCTTCCTGCACGCTGTCCTCCTAGCTGCATTACCTACTTGCATATCCTCCAAGGCGGAGTCCTCTATGTTTTAAATAACATTCTTTCCAGCTGGCGTTGAACCGTCTTTCCTAGTCCCAGGAACTTCAGCATCTAGCACAGTGCCTTTGTTGGATACAGGTAAGAATCTACTCAACAAGGCCAGCAGGTGCAATGGAGGTTAAGGCGGCTGGATCACACAAGGCATAGTGTGCAGTTCCAGTGGCTTGAGAATCAGGCTGGGCTTATGTGTGTGTGTGTACTCAAAATCCACAGAGGAGAATGGAGGAGAAGGGACTGGGGGGTGGCCATCCTTTGTGGGGGTGGTGATTTCTTACTGCCCCCCCCCACCATGAGCAGCCATGTCCTGTAGCAAAAAAAAAAAAAAAAAAAAAAAAAAAACTTGCTTCTGTTTGAAGCCACATAAATGATGAGGTAGAGGCATGAGAATGAGTGAAAAAAATCAAAACTAAAAACCAAATATAAAGCAAGATTAGCATCTCCATATTTAATTCCACTCCTGCCCCCATCCATGGAGTAGTGACCCACCTTCTACTATAATAGGAGGGAAGAGAAAAACAGGACAGCTATGGATGCAGGTAAGTAGGTAGGTTTGGTGGCAGAAAAGGGATTTCCAGCTGAAGACTGTTACAAAGAGAGAAAGTGAGGGCCACTAGGTTGTGTGGTAGTTAAGGTGCTGGATCCCACAGGGTGCACTGCAGTTTGAGTCCTAAACCTGGCAGCTTGAAAATCATGCTAGGCGCATGTGTGTGTGTGTGTGTGCTGAAAATCCCAAGAGCAAACTGGAGAAGGGACTGCATTGTGGTGTGGCCATCCCCCTGGGGGTCATTTCTCACTTCTGTCTCTTTCTGGTGAGCGCCCTATGACAGAAATTTAAAAATAAACTAAAAAAAAGAGAAAGTGAACAATCAGAGGATGGAGGTGGGTAGTTGTATGGGCTACAAGTAACAGACATCTGACTGTCCATGGCTTAAACAAATAGAGGTTTATTTTCCTCACAGACTAGGAGGTCTGGAGGTAAAGAGGCGTGGTAGGTCAGTGGCCCAGTGATATCAGGGACTATACGTCTGCAATTCTTTGGTTTTTCCTGAAGGTTACAGTATGGCTGGCTGCCTCCACTCCATGCATCATTTTCCTGTTCAAGGCAGGTGCTTGCCAGAAATCCCTCAGTAAATTTTTGCTTACATTTCACTGGGCAGAACTATGTCACATAGATGCAAGACAGCCTAAAACAGTACATGCTTTGTTCTTCCAGCCTCTTTAAAGGACAGGGGACACAGGGGCTGGTAGTGGGGATTAAGGTAGACACATATAGTGCCTTCTGTAGTGGAGAAAGTTGAGCAGAGAAATTATGTAGGGTTGTCAGGACTGACAAGAAATTAGTTGATGTAGAAATCATGAATTGATTGCTTGTTCTGCTGTATTTTTTCTAGCAATGCTCAGTTTCCTGGATCTGGCAGATTTTATTTTCCATAGAAGATCACAGCATTATCTCCCAGCCTATATATTCTTCCTACAAAATGATCATGACATTCCTCCTATTAAGTGGTTTTCAGGCCAGTCCTGTGGCCTAGTAGTTAAAGGAGCCAGATTTTTGGCTGACTGCAGTTTAAATCCTGGTCCTAGTGGGTTGTAAAACTTGCTGGGCATGTGTGTGTGCCCCAAATGCTAACAAAATGGAGAAATGAAGGAAAAGGGATTGCAGTGTGACCATATTCACTGGGGGGGGGGTGTGTGGTACTTTCACCCTCTCTTCCTGTCTTTCTGTCTCTCTCTGGTGAGAGCAGGCACCCTCTGGCAAAAAAAAAAAAAAAAAAAGGTTTTGGCACGTCTTATTTTCTAAAGATGGCCACTACAGTATCTCCCAACCTATGATCTTTCTACAGTGAGATTATGACGTTCTTCCAATTAAGAGGTGGACATATGTTCCTGTTTTATGGCAGACCAAATCTGGTATAAGAGACATTGAGCGACGACTGAGACTAGATCATAAAAGACAATACAGCTTCTGCCAGGTTCTCTTGGAACACATGTCCTTGGAACCCAGCTTCCATGCTGCAAGGAAGCCCAAGCTACCCTATGCAGTGAACCATGTGGAGAGAGTATGTGCAGATGTTCCAGACAACAGCTCAGCCGAGATCAAAACTGATTACCAGGAAAATTCAGGAGTGAAGACACTTCTAGATGATTTCAAGCCCAGAGGTTGAGTCATCTCCAGCTGAGGCTGCAGACTTCATGGAGCCACTGTACTTTTTTTGAATTTCTGACCCAGAGGATCTGTGAGCATAATAAAATTGCAAAGGCAAGCTCCCTGGTCCAGTGGTAATGTGCTTCTCAAGAGAAGCCAGATCCCACATGACAAATGCAGTTTTAATTTCTGGCCCCACACCAGCCATAAGTGTGACAAGCTGAAGGACTGGAGGGAGGGGATTGTGGCATGGTCAGACCCTGTGGAGGGTACTCAGCTCTTTTTTTCTCTCTTTCACTCTCATGTACATGTACATATGCTCTATCATGAATAAAATAAGTAGGACCGGCCAATGGTGTAGTGGTTAAGGAGGCTGGAACCCACATGACTGACTGACCAATTTGAGTTCCAGACCCAGTACTTTGAAAAACACTCCAGGTATGTGCGAATACATGCCCAAAATTCCAAGAAAATAGAGAAAGGGTTATGGTGTGGCCATCTCCCTGGTGGGTGCTTTCTCACTTTCTCTCTCTCTCTCTCTCTCTCTCTCTGTGTGTGTGTGTGTGTCTCTCTTGGAGAAGTGTACATGTCCTGTAGCAAAGATGTTTAGAAAATGGAACCAACAGATGGCAGAATGGTTATGTTGCTGGACTCCCACGTAGTCAACCTTGGTTCAAGTTCCAGACACGGTGGCTTCAAACTCACACCAGTTGTGTGTGAGGGCATGCCCAAGATCCCAAGAGGAAAATGGAGAATTGCAGCATGACCATCCCCCCCGCCAGAGGGGGATTTCTCACTTTCTGTCTCTCTTTCTCTCTCTCTTGCATGTGCACATGTCATATAAGCAAAAAATCTCTCTTAAAAAAAAACAAAAACAAAAAACTGGGGCCGGCAGGTGGCATGGTGGTTAAGGGCGCTGGACTCCCACATGGCCAACCACAGTTTGAGTCCTGAACCTGGCAGCTTGCTTTCTCACTTTCCCTCTCTTTCTCTCTCTCAGTCTGTCTCAATCTGGTCAGATTAAAATAAATAGGTAAATAAGATTAAATAAAATAATTCTAAACCAAAAACAAACAAAAAACTCCCACAGTAAAAAATCCTTCAGAGGCCTGCAGGTGGCATAGTGTTTCAGGGAGCTGGACTCTCCCATGGCCAACTGTAGTTTGAGTCCTGAACCTGGCTGCTTGTTTTCTCACTTTCTCTCTTGCTCTGTCCCTCTCTGGTAAAAATTAAAATAAATAAATAGGTAATTAAAGTTAAATAATTCTTTTTTAAAAAGGGGAAATTAAATCCTCCAAACACTGTAAACATCAAAATATTCACAAATATATGATGTTTGTGGACTATTGTGGCCCAAGTCCAATCCAAGTCACTGCCCTGTTCCCCCACCCTTGTCGCTAGGAGTAGAGGTGCTTGCCATCACATGTGGCCTTTAGCTTTGACTGGGGATTGAATCTGGATCTGCCTATGTGGTCTCAGCCTGCAGAGTGCAATCAGCAATATGACACTGCAGCTGGGGCACTTCTCTTTCCTCCTCCCTATCCCTGCCAGGCCAGCCCTGTAGTACAGTAGTTAAGCACTGTATGGAGGGAACAGGATCCCACATGGCCAACAGTGGTTTGAATCCTGGTCCAGGTAGCATGAAAACCACACTGGGTATGTGTGTGTGCATGCCCAGGATCCTGAAGGGAGGAAGGAATGGCAGAAAGGGGACTGTGGTGTGACCAGGCCCTACTAGGGGAAGAGGGAGCATTTTCCTTTTTTTCTTCTTTTTTAAAGAATTATTTTATTCAACTTTACTTATTTCAATTTGACCAGAGAGGGATAGAGTGAGAGAGAGAGAAAGTAAGAAAGCAAGCCACCAGGTCCAAGACTTGAAGCGCAGTCAGCCATGTGGAAATCCAGTGCCCTTAACCACCATGCCACCTGCTGGCCCAGAAGAGGGAGCATTTTTCTCCCTCTGGCATACACATGGGACCTCTGACATTAAAAAAATGTTTTCCCTCATTGTCAATTTGTTGCTCAAAGAGACCCTCTCATCTTATTGTTTTGGCATGTCAGCTGATAGCAGCTAGTGCTTCATTTTCCCTTTACACACAAACTCTGTAAAGATCTTTAGGCAAGGATCGTGTGCCCATGTAGAATGTAACACCTGCTCCCTTTCCTGCTTATCTTTCCTAAGATCTGATAGGCTTTCAGTCCCACCCTCTTCTGGCTTAATTCCTCATTTCTAATGTACCTGCACGCATGGAATTATCAGAACACTTCAGATACTTATGGACTTTCCTCAGCTCTAATTTCAACGGTCATTATTTGCCTACTCAGAAGTTTGGAGCCAGAGATCAACATAGACTTTGATTATCTGAGTCAGCTCTGGGCAAAAATACAAAACAGGTCAACACTTGCCTTTGGCAAGACCGACCCTTCGCCCTTTCCTCCCTCCTGGACTTTGTCTCCACCTAGTTCTCTTAGTGTCGATGTGTTCCTGCTTTCTTCAACTTCCTGTTCAAAGTCTGCTTTCTAGAAAGGACAAAGAGGGCCAGATGTGGTGCAGCGGTAAAACATGACACTGTGAGGAAAGGTTCATCCAGAGTCCTCTCTGAGTATGTACACGAGGCATACCCATGCCCTGGGTCTGGCTGAGGCTGGGAGTGGATGGCAGTGTCAAGATCCTGTCAGTGGTACTGTTTCTCTATCTGTCCCTAATAGAAGGAATAAAAATTGGGGACCAGCAGATGGCCTCATGGTTATGTTACTGGACTTCCACATAGTTGAACACGATTTGACTCTCAGACCCAGTGGCTTAAAATTCTCACCAAGCATGTGTGCATGTGTGTATAAAATCCCGAGAGGAGAATGGAGGAGAAGGGATTGCTGTGAGGCCATGTCCTCTGGGGGGGTGATTTCTTGCTTTCTGTCTCTGTCTCGCTCTGTCTCTCTAGAGAGCACACACACACCCTATAGCAAAAATCTCTCCAAAAAAAAAAAACCACATCAAAGTTGTGGAGGAATTTCAGGTGTCATGGCTAAGAGTATAAAGAACCAGCTTTTGTGAAAGGCCAGCAGTGGCACTGTGGTTAAGGCACTAGATCCTACGTAGTGACGGTGCAGTTTCTGTCCAGGACCCAGTAGCTTGAAAAACATGCGAGGTGCATCTGTCTGCATGCCTAGAAATCCAGAGAGGAGAATGGAGAAGGGATTGCGGTGTGGCCACCACGCCTAGGGGGATGTTTTCTCACTTTTCTTCTTGCTGTCTCTCTCCACTGAGCATACAAATTTGGGGGGGGGGGGAAGAGAACTAGGTTTAAAAAATATATAGTGCAGGGGCCAGCAAGTGGCATGGTGATTAAGGGTGCTGGACTCCCATATGGCTGACCATGTTTTGAGTTCCAGACCTGGTGGCTTGATTTCTCACTTTTGCTCTCTCTGGTCAAATTAAAAATAAATAAAGTTATAAATAAAAATAATTTCTTTTAGAAAAATATACATAGTGTATATACACAAGACAGACTGAGGAAGAACTCCCTATTGAGGACTCCCAATAGGGTCTAATCTTGCCACTAGTACTTTCTCCAGCCCTCCTCAGGATCTTGGGTACCCATGCAACATATCTTTTCAGACTGACTCAAGGATCTGAGGTTGCCTGGTTGAAGTCATACTTCCCCGAGTGTACAAGATACATGTGTACCCATTGTCTTGTGTCCCTGTTCCCAGGCTGATTGAAGCTGGGAGGGATCATGGCATTGGGACCCTTTGAGGGTTGTTGTTATCTGTCTCTGACTCATGGAATAGACTAAAAGAACAGAACAGAAAAAAGGGCTGCCATTCCAGTGACCTCCTCAAATACCATTCATGTTGGAAGGTTTTTCTGGTCAAATCTCACAGGTGTGTGGCAGTCCCCACATGGTCTCACTGGTATGTTTATTAGGGCCTAGATTTCATGAACATGTGGCTAGCCAGACTCTACTCCCTCGCTGATGAGATGTGATTATAAACCAGAATCGGGTTCTTTTTTTTTTTTTAAAGAATTGTTTAATTCCCATGAATAGATGAATGGATTGAAAAAGTGTGGCACATATACTCTATGGAATACTATAAAAAAAACAAGACCCTAGTATTTGATAGAAAATGGTCAAATACAGAAGATTTATTGCTGAGTAAAGCAAGCCAGGTTTTGAAAGAGAGACATTATATGTCTCCACTTAATATATACTGAGTGTCTGCACTCTACGGTAGAGACTGAAAGGTTGGAGGACCTAAAAGCATTGAAAATAGTTATGGACACTGGAGACAGTGTGAAAAAAGGGTGGGAGAGGGGAATAGTATAGGACAGGAAATTAGGGGGGAAATAGACAAGACATCTGTGGGACACACTAATTGTTTATTACCTGTTGATGGTAACACGTATAGTATTCTCTACTGGACTGGTCTGAGGGTGTATTTCATGTTGGGTAAATTCTCTTTGTAAGCCAAATGATGTATAACGATTGTATAAAAAATAAAATCTAAGTTAAAATTATTTAACTTAAAAATTATTTTACTTAACTTTATTTATTATCATTTTCAATTTGAACAGAGAAAAGAGGAAAAGTGAGAAAGCATGCCACCAGGTTCAGGACTCAAACTGTAGTTGGCCATCTGGAAGTCCAGCGCCCTCAATCACCATGCCACCTGCCAGCCCCTTATTATAATTTTAAAATTTGACCAGAGAGACATAGACAGCGTGAAAGTGAGAAAGCAAGCTGCCAAGTCTGGGACTTGAACCGTGGTCAGCCACGTGGGTGGGAGTCCAGCGCCCCAAACACCACACCATCGGCCAGCCCAGAACAGGGTTCTTAAACATTTACAATTGAACTTCTACTTTTCCAGTAACTTCAACAGGATGCCTCCCTCCCCAGCCAATAAAGCGTCTCTCCTAGTCTGCGCTAAATAACCATCCAACTCAATAGCAGTAAGCCACCCCTTTTTCTGCCACGCAGCGTGTCACCCTACACTTGCCGGTGTACAATCAGTGGGTTGGAAGTTTCTGTTCCCAGAGGAGATTTCGGTCTCTGCTATCAGTCTCATTCCCACGTAATGCTCTTGCATGACCAGTCTCGTGAGCGCAATTCCGCCTCGCTCTACTGCTTCGCCAGAGCTGGCGCCGAAAAGCGTTTAGCCTCTCCCAGATCACGCTAGTCACCGCCAGAAAGTTGGGGGAGGAAAACCAGAACGCCCCTCTCCGCGCCACCTGCCAGAAACGCGGCCTTCCAGAACTT